AAAGCTCTTATCCGCTAGAAATATAGCAGATTCCCTCCTTGTACTCGAGTTCAGTACGGTAATATAGATCGAAGTGCTGTGCTATCATGATTGGGATCAGGGTTGCGATTCCTGTAATGATTCTGACTCTATTATGCATTTAACGTGAATATGGTATTGTGCTTGTCCTGGTACTGTAATCGTACTGTATGTTGAGGGTGGGTTTTCGCACTTATAGGAAGGTTTAGCCGGGACACTTTGTGAAACCCAGGCAAGGATACATTGTTGCAGAGACCTGAGCCCCGCTTTCGTTAGAAGTTGACGGGACTTACCACCACTGCTCCCGGTCCGGCTCTGTTCAGCAATAACATTCTTCAAGAAGGAAGATTCATCTCCGAAACCACTAGCATCCGTTCAAAAGCCATGAACAACTGCTACAACCGCAACCTATTAAGCAATAACAACAGTAGTTTTAATGTCACAAACTCGAATAACACTACTACCTACAATCACACAACTGTCAGCGACGAAGAACTGAGGATACTATCATGGATATCACCGTTGGAGTCATGGAAGAGACACAGTGATGTGGTTGGTACTCGCGTCAAAGGTATAGGAGAATGGGTGCTACAAAGCAGCGAGTTTCAAGCATGGCGGCGGGATGGAAACGACCGGACGGCTGGTAGGATTTTGTTTTGCTGTGGGGCACCTGGGGCAGGAAAGACTTTTATTTGGTAGGACCCGTGACTTTGCATACACTCAAATCACTACTGACTTAGTAATAGCTCCTTAGTGATAGATAGGCTATGCGATGAGGCCCCGGGTCCGAATGTTGCAGTCGGTTGCCTATACTGCGATTACCGGGGTCAAAAAGAACAAACGGCGAAAGTGATGATTGGGAGCCTTTTGAGACAGTTTGTGACGGCGTTACCGGAGATTCCGGACCTGATCAAACAGGCCTTCCGATCAGCGAAGGCCCATATTGGAGGACGAGCACTCGAGCTTGCAAAGACTATTGAACTATTCCAGGTCGTCCTCGGAAACTTCCAGAAGGTATTCATTTGTGTTGATGCGTTGGATGAGATTGTGGCGGAATACAGCGCTCCCTTTCTACGTTCCCTACGCCAGATCTTAGATCGATCACCAAATGCTAGACTATTTGTCACTGCAAGGGCCCATATCCAATCAGATCTGGAGGGTCACATCCCACTCGATATGAGCATCATCGCTATGCGACCTCTCTTTAGCGACATCGCAAATTACTTGGTAGCAAAGTTGGACTCCGATCCATACC